ACGAGATCAAGGTCAAACACAGAGTTAACGTGTGCAGAAAAAAACATCCGACGGCAAAGAACTTCCCACAACTTGGCCCTCTTAAGGGAAGCTGTTTGGGATCCCAAAGAAACTACCAACAGAGTCAGGCAGGAAAAGTGGCTGGAATGGTGCCAGTCCTTTGTCCACCAGATAAGCTTCTCAGAGCTGTGGAAGTGGGTCAGACGAGCTACCAGCAGCCAAGTTCCCAGCCGCATGCATCATGACCCATAAACAGAGTCACACAGGCTGGTGCTCGAGTTCTCAGCCAAAACCAGCAGAAACAGCCTGCCTCCTGAGTTGAAGGAAAAACAAATACGCCTAAATCCAGGCAGGCTTGCTCTCATCAGAGACAAGGCACTCCAACCTGATTACTCAGGGAACTAAATAAAACATATAAAACCATTTCTGGATCAGCACCGGGCTCTAATGGGATCTCCTACCCAATCATCTCCCACTTAAGATTTGCAGAACTTGCATTACTGCAGCTCCACAAGTCCTGGCAAACTGCCATGCTACTCCAGAGCTGGAAAGAAGCTATAATAGTTCCTATTCTAAAACCAAAGGGGCCAGGCAGGTACCGACCCATTTCTCTCCTCAACTGTCTAGGCAAAACAGCCGAAAGGATGATACTAAATCGACTCCGATGGAAAATGGGATCCCCTCATGAACACCTGCACGGGTTCCCCAGGAGTATGTGCACAGCCCATAGCATCGCCACACTCGTAAGTACAATATGCACTACTCCCTCTGTGGTTGTATTCCTAGACCCGGAAAAGGCTTTTGAATTGACAAGTACTCTTGTCATTCAGGAGACCCTAATCCACATAGGAATCAAACGTAGACTTTTGGCCTGGATAGCTATTTCAAAAACAGAACAGCAAATGTCAGATTTCAAGGTCACATCTCAGCACAGGCCACTTGAAAAAGGAACGCCACAGGGTGGGGTCATCAGTCCTGCTCTTTCCAATACCCTCATGTCCAACATACTCAACATTCACCTGCCAGAGGGATCTCTTATGCAGATGATCTGGCAATCATCTCTGGCAAGCATTGCCTAACTAGATCTTGTGTCTGAAGAGTGTTGCAGGACAGATCTAAAGATTTCGGCAGCAAAATCAAATGGCTCTGAAAACCAATGTCGAAAATTAAAAAAAAAAAAAAAAATCACTGTCCAAGGCATGTATCTGGAATGGGTTAAGGACTACATATACCTTGAGGTATGAATAGGCCACACACTCACTTTCAAAAGGGAGATCCACTACCTGCTTGACTGAACCAAACAAAGACTGCCTGTCATGAAAATAATGACCGGGAGACACATGGGAGCGGGACACAAAGTACTAAGATCATTCTAAGTACACGCTATCCGGCCTATTGTTGACTATGCTTCTGTCGCCCTCATTGCTTCCAGCACAACATTAAAAGAAAAATTGAAGTCTAATTGAAGATCATTCTGGGTGCCCCCAGGTGGACAAAGGTCATAAACCTCCTCATGGAGGCTGACTTGCCGTCCGTAGACACTCGGATCGATTTAATGGCAGCCCTGTATCTTTCCAAGCTAAGGCAGGCACCCCGGAAGTCATACATGAGACAGAGAGTATTTAGACACCTACAGCAAGACTATTAGCTGTTTGCCGACAACTGGCTCACACACAGAGCCAGAGTATTGAAACGCTTTCAGCTCAAACAATAACTGCTTGCCAAGGATATGGACTCCCTCACGCAGACTATAGAGAACACCTTGATCAGTTTTCAGTCCTGAGCTTGTCAAGGAGAAAAGGTCAATACTCTATGCCTAGCCTAAAGGCACAAATACAAAGGGTTATTGCACAAATAACTCTTCCGGATAGTAGAACCTACTATACGGACGGATCCGCGGATCTTTTTTTATTTTTTATTTACCATCTTAAATTTCAAGGTGGAACGGGTTCTGCTTACGCCACCCTTTTGTTGTTACTTTAAGAGTGATTCTTTTATTAAGGATATCTTTATTAATAGAAACTCAATGGTGGTAATGAAGCAAAGGTGGTGTCAAACTTGGCCGGAAGCCCAGCCTTTGGTTGAGGACATCAGCCAGCGACGTCGCCCGTCCCTGACATCAGCAGCCACCATCCACCCCGGACGCCGCCCGCTCACGACGCTCGACGATCACGAGTCCCTCCCAGACACCCTCTTCTCCTCTTGCCGGAGAATCGCCGACGTTCCCCTACCGAGGCCAACCGGCAGCCGAAGCTGAAGTGGACCGCAAGGCCCGTGGCAGTCACCCCAACTTCTCCGACGCCTGGTCGTTGGCGCCTCGTGCCTAGCGGGAAGGTGGTCGGCCTCGATCGTACTAACCGGCACTCCCCAACGCGAAGAGGAGGGGGCGAAGAAGGCGCCGTAGAAGGGCCCACTCCGACAAGAAGGCAGCACCAGCAGAGCCCCAGGAGAGCCGGGATACACTGCCCACGACCGACGGAGCACCCCGTCACACGGGTGCGTCGGCGCCCACGAAGTCCAGACGAGCAGCAGGAGCCGGAGATGTCCTTTGGGAGTGATCTGCCCCCGGCGACCGCAGGCAACATCGAAGGAACGAGGAAAGGAGAAACGAACGAAGCGGCTCTTCTTGAAAGGGTCGAGAGTAAGCAGTTGTCGTTGATAGGGCAGCTTGCGCGGGAGCTGAGTGGAGCACGTGGAGAGGATACAGGGAGAGATGTTACCGCCGCGGCCGCCGGGAGAAGAGTGGATCCGCGGATCCCATTTACCACACTGCAGGCGCCGGCCTCACAGCAAACGATGCATCCATTAGGGTCACTGACAATGCCTCATCGCTCCAAGCTGAAACAGTTGCGATCAAGGGAGCCCTGGCCCACACGTCCCTAAGGGATAGACACACTGTCATAAACACAAACTCCAGATCAGCCATTGACTGTCTACAGCACAGCATGCCCAACATCTACCTCCTGACCAGTGTCATCACCATAGCACAGAAGATTCTTGATCAGGGTGGAAGAATAATCATAAACTGGGTCCCAAGCCACATAGGCATCCAAGGGAATGAGCGTGCTGATAGACTAGCCGAAAAGGGCAGGGGCATGCTCCTGAATCCCATGATCGTCAACCCAAGCCAAAAAAGACTGAGCCAAAGTTCCAAAGCTACAGCGTTTGCCATTCTCCGGCGAACGCACAGAGAAAATACCACAAACTCGCTCTCAGCCAGATGGTACTCAGACGCCACAGGCTATGAGCCACTGGCCCTTCAAAAATAAACAGAGGTACCGGTCACTCTGTACAGATTAAGAGTAGGTTACACATGCGCTTGGCAAATTCTTGATGACATGGTTGTTTGGGAATGTAAGCATTGCGGCGAGCCGAACGCCACATTGTTACATTACTTACAGAACTGTGAACACACGCAACTTCTGAGACAGGGACTTGCCACCACAGCCGCCGAGCTGGTAAAAGGGTATGTCACACGTTTATGTCATGGCAGCGGGCTGGATCGCTTGCTTGCAATCCAGCCTCCACGCTAAGCATACAGTTCAAAGAAAACACATGAGTCAACTAGAGATAGCTGACATAGGCCGGGCCACTCTAGAGAAAAGGCCCGGGAAAAGCTAGACTAGTCGAATCTAACTGAACTGAACTAGACTGACACTTCCACGGCTTGGTCGCTACCAAGGTCTATATAAGTACAGGTCTCGTCACTAAGCGACTCAAATTCGTCCGTCTCGCGCATGACGTCATCTGGAGCAGAGCCTGGGGGTTCCACGCTAATCGCGTGATCATTCTTTGATGTGAGGAAGAGCCGGAAGTATCTCTCCCTCTCTCCGTTTTCGCTCGCTTGACTGACTGGCGCGCGCAAAGTCACAATGCCCAGTGGTTGGTTGCAGCTTATATATATGTACATTTATGTGTATGTTTATGTATTGCCATTATTATTATTATTATTATCATTATTAGTATTAGTATTAGTATTAGTATTATCATTATTATTGTTATTGTTGTATGATTCGTTTTATAATAAATTCATCAAAAACATTTGGAGTTTACATATGCCATGTCTTTTTTATTTATTTTAGGTCTTTTTTATGCCATGTCTAAGCTGCAATATGAGAATTACAAAACTAAATTCACGTAGAATATATGATATAGGCCTACAAACAATCTCTGATAATCATCTCCTGCAAAACATGTCTAATATGCAAATCGTTCAACGTGCCGACAAAATTACTCAAGTATCTGCTCATTTACTACCATTTTCTATTATCTATGGCCCTGCCTACCATGCTCTAGTTCCCCCCGCCCCCCTTGCTCTCAGCTCTTCCCAGGTGACGTCATAGGCCTTATCACCCAAAGCTGCGTAGAACTCCGAAGTGACGAGACCTGTACTTATATAGACCTTGGTCGCTACAACCAAGGTCTATATAAGTAGACAAGGTCTATAGAAGTACTTATATTGACCTTGGATGCGCCTCATGGAAACGCCAAGACACGGAATAATAACAGCGAAAACTATGATCAGATTTTAGCTCAAGATAGAGGACAATCAGAATAACCAAAATGAATTATACATAAGGCCTTTATTCCGCCGTCACCGGGTTGTAGTACTACACTAGAAAGTGTCGTTTTTTTAATTTGCGGTTTTCTCCGGGCCGATCGCGACAGCAACGTTGCCGATTCTGCTAAAGTTGACGAACCTGATTTTATTTCAATTTGTTTTACGATAAGCAACCATTATTCCATTGATGTTGCATTATGATATTGCAATGAATACAAGCTGTTAGTTATTGGGATTTCGAAATTACAAATCAAACGACGGAATATTATAGAAATCTGCAGAAAATGCGTGTTCACTAAGGGACCTCCCACCATACTTTTCCTTCGTCTGTCACCTCAGGCTTCGAACGTCATACTAGTTTGATTATTTATAAAATGATACTTTTTATTAATCGATACTGACTACAATTATTATAATATGTGTGATTACGCATTCATGTGGAAGTATGTGTGCTTGGTAAGTAAAATAACCATGTAGACTCTAATATGAATTATCATAATATTCTGTCGAACCTACGAACACATTTTGTAAACAAAACATGGAGCTGTTTGATGAAGAAGAAGAGATAATTTCTCTTA